ATGAAACAGTAACTGTAATAGAAGGTGGCATTTTGATCAAAAATTTTAAGGGGTAAAAAAATTGACATTTATTATTATGGAAAATCAAAGGAAAAAAAAGAATGAAAATTATGCAAAAATTTAAATATTCTTCCATTATCTTTGTAACAATTATTGGATAATGATAATCCTTCTACTCAAAAGATTTTAAATTAATTTCTTCTACTGATCTGTGATTATTATTGGTTAATTATCATGTGTCATAAAAAATTTATCAAAAATTCAAAAAATTCCATTTTACTCCATTATACAACAAAAATTCTGATTTATTCATTTATTATAAAAATGGAATTTTTCTGGGTCTCTGAAGTACGAATAGTTTATTATAAAGTTTAATATATGTATAGTAACAAGATAAAATAAATTTATTATTTAATACATTCCTATTGTGATACATTTCTATTGTGATATATTTTTATTATTACATTATTAACTGATCGATATCATAATGGAAAAATAGTCTGATTGTAATTAACTAACTTACGATAATTTTTTTCACATTACTTTGCATTTTATAATTGAAAAATTTTAGATTTTACTATAAACCTCAAGGTTAAGAACCGCATCAGCAGCAAGTTTGCCAGCTCATTTAGCTTTTCTTGTATATAAAAAGAATCATTATTTAACAATAAAACTTAATACTTACTAATATGCCGCGTTTGACAAGTCGTCAAAAACAATCAAGAAGAGCCTACAAAATAAATAATATAAAAGTTAATAATGATGATGTATCTGCCCATGATGGTTCTGTCTATAATGATTCTGAAGGATATGAATATGATCTGAAAGATTACTTTGAAGTTGACAATGGTTCTTCCCATTATAACTCTATTGATGATGAACCAGTAGAAAATGATAATGCTGCAAGTATTATAGAAAAACTTCGTGAAGCAACAAGAAAGTATTACCAGGAATATGCTTCTCGAGAAGTACATAGTTACATTATATAGGAAACTCAAGTTGTACTAAAAGAAGAAAGAATCAACAGCAGCGTGAAGCAGTAAAAGGGACTCTTACTTTACACACCTTTTGGGATACCAAAAAACCTTCTGAAGAAATTGATGAGAAGCTGACTGAAGAGAATGTAAAAGAATCAGATGATGAAATTGAAGATTGTGATTGGCATAATAAAATTCAGATTGCTCTCAAAAATCTAATATTAGATCTCAAAAAAGAAAAGGTTAATAGTGAGATTTGGATACATATAAATAGTATTCAACTTTACCTTCAACTTATAAAATCTAATTATTTAAAAATAGACACAAGTGAGATTGTTGCTAATGCAGCAAGAAAAGGGGTATATTATGTCAGATGTATTCGTTCTTAGGCAAATGATTATATAATGACCCATAAAATTCTTTACTCTTGTCGAGGATATCATACTAAAGTATGGAGTTTTTTTTGGGATGAAGACATTATTCTTCAAGTAAAAGCTTATATTCAGGAATATAAGTGGGATGTTACTCCACAAATACTAATGGCATAGATGAATGAAATTATTTTGCTAGGACTTAGATTTGCATCATCTCCAACTATTCATCTTAATACTGCAAGAAACTATTTGAAAGAACTTAGATATACATATGCTAAGGTAAAAAAGGAAACATATATAGATGGACATGAAAGGGAAGATGTGGTGGCTTATTGTAAAATTTTCTTAGAATAAATGGATAAACTTGAGAATAGGATGCCAATTTTCTCTAGAGACAATTTGGAGAAAGTAACATAGTCAGGTGATAAAGTACAACCCCTTATTCTTGTCACACATGATGAATGTATTTTTTCAGCTTATGATGGAAGTCGAAGCCTTTGGATTCCAAATGGAAAACAACTTTTAAGAAAAAAGGTAATGGATACTCCATTCATATGAGTGAATTCTTAACCAATATTTGTGATCACCTTACACTTCCTGATGAAATGCAAACGTCAGATGATCTCCTTAGAGAAGCTTGTATTATTATATACCTAGAAAAAAATAATGATGGATGGTGAAAAGCTGAGGATCTAATAAATCAGGTAGTTAAACGTTGTCACGATGGTTTCATGGCTTCAAATAAAATCTCAAAAAGGGGTAAATAAAACTAAGACAATTACTCAAGGAATCACGGGTAAGGATTCACA